TTGGGACATTCAAACGATTCCAGTTTTTGTAACAACTTAGATCGAGGAATGGAATCAAATACAGAAGAGTAGTCGAGAAAAACACACCGAACAAACTTAACTGTTCAACGATTTAGTGATGTAATGAATGAGGGTAGAGACTGCGTCCAGGGTGGATCTATTTGGCTTGTAATTAAACTGTAACGGATCACTGGGAATGTTTGTGGACTGCTGAAGACGTTTGAGGATGGCCTTTTCAGTCAATTTAAGAATTGAAGATGTTAATGCTATGGGAAAAAACGTTTGGAGACGATAGAGGATTTGGATGCTTTGGGGACTGTTTGAGGGGGGGGGATAGCATAATCCCGAGACTAACTAGCGGAATGAATCACTAAAAGACGTTCGAATTCGACAGTGTATAAAATGGAAGACATGACGACTACCGGTAGCATTGTATCATCAGCGATCTGAACATCTGAACTACCTGATCGACTGAGACTATCAATACCGTAGCATTATACAGACCTGAAACAGGGAGTGGGAGCAATTCAAACCGGTTTTCTGGTAACGTGACAAGTACATGCAGCATCCGAACATATTAAAATCAACCGCTTAATTTTCGCGCCCAGCACCGTCGTAGGTAATGTGAAAGGTTTGCGGAGTAATCCAAGTAGTTTGAACCTAAAGTCAATCAAAGGCACACAAGACGAGTCATTGTAATGAAGAAAAATAAGTACTGGCATGGCCCTTGGCAGTGCATTGAACTTCTTCCAAAAGCGGTCATCACTTATGACAAATTAAACAGGAATCAGGGCGGTGTATAGAAATAACAGCTCAAATAAACTGTAGAGAGTAGAGAGTCAGTCAATAATTTCTCGAAATTAATGAGTCTAATCAGATAATTAACACCAGGACGCCCGCAAGCCCTGGCACATGAATAGGTCCCTTGAAAAAAGAACAAGTGAATAAGGATCCGAGTCTTTGTAGTAGCCGAAGTAGCTACGGATTACGAACCACTATCGTCAGTGAAGTACAGAATCGCACTAACAATCATGCATTGGAATTTCCCGCCACCGAGACGCAGGAAAGAGGTCACAGAAGTAGTGATTCGCTCATTGAAAGCAATCAGTGGAATTAAATAATGCGCAAATAGAAATATCATTTCATGTTACCAGTTCCTTTCAACAATTACATGAGAGCAAGAAGAAGCATCTGATCACAGAATGTGTCGAATTCCACTATTTCGTGGTAAGCTCATCAGCTGTGTGCATACATTCAGATCACGTTTGCTTAAAATAGTGACAGGTTTGGGGACAGGCAAACACACGGGGATGAGAAACCAATCAATACGAAGGCCAAAGGCCAGCAATATGAACCGGATTGGGCATTGGGGCAAGGATCGGAATCATTGCAGGGTGGGGCAGGGGAGAGGGAGGAGGACAGTGACACCTACCAGGGCAGCGCGAGGCTAGCCACAAATTCGGTCTGTTCACATAAATCGGGCTTGCAACGTCGAATAGCAGTTCAGTTCACCTAGATGTAGTAGAAGAAAGCAGATGGCATCGGAACAACTTGCGATAGAAATGAGGAAATTGGAGATTAGGCAAAAACAGTTAGATTTGGAGATTGCGACCTTGCACGATGAAGAGCATTCTCTCGGAGGAGATGACGACTATGGAGATGAAGTCATGGAACAATTAGAACATGTTAAAGATTACGTCAACCTTTTGCCGGCGGACCGGCCATTACCCAACACTGCTATGTCGTCTAACAAAACCACACACTGCAAGACGACTTCCCGAGTTGAGTCTGATGAGTTTCGACGGCACTCCAAGGAAGCTTTGGAGATTTTTGAACAGTTTTAAACGAGATGTTTCTGCACATCTGGGAACCGACAGAGAAAGGCTAGCGTACCTT